TCCTGTCCCACTGCCCCTCACCTGTCCCATTGTGCTACTCCTGTCCCGCTGCCCCGATCCTGTCCCATGCCCCCCCGTCATGCTGCCCCCATCTGTCCCTCTACGCTCCTCCTGTCCCACTGCCCCTCACCTGTCCCTCTGTGCTCCTCATGTCCCACTGCCCTTCACCTGTCCCTTTGCGCTCCTCATGTCCCACTGCCCCTCACCTGTCCCTTTGCTCTCCTCATGTCCCACTGCCCTGATCCTCTCACTTTGCACTCCTCCTGCCCCGCTCCTGTCCCATGACCCCTGCCACACTGCCCCCCACCTGTCCCTCTGTGCTCCTCCTGTCCCCCTTCATTCACTAAAGCAGATAGCATGTGGTATTTAGGTGTTCAGACACATTTTGCCTAAATATCGCATGCAATCCTGAAATGGTCAATTCACTAGTTGGTGTGCTTGTTGTAATTTTAAACTTGCAAAAACTTTTAGGAGGCAGGACAGCCAAAGGACCTAAGGGCCCATTCAGACCTAAACATCCTAGTAGGTTACATTAACACATGTGAGGGAATGCACTTTTTGTACATTAACATGCATATCATTAAGGCAGCTCATTCAAATGAAAAGATTGACAATGCACCAAACTATCCAACAAATGTATGTGCATATGTTGAAAATACGGCTTACCACAACACACAATAGTATGTTACTGTGCATTGTGATGTGCTACAGCATATACCGTATGTGTTAGAGCTGCATTGCCTTAGTGTGTTGGGTTGCCATTCAAAATGAATGGTACTGAAGAACCAGACGAAGTTTGTGGACTTTGTCTTTCTGGCTGCTGCTATTCAGAAATTAACTAAATCTTGCCTGCAACAGTTCCTTCTTTTCGCTGAAATCAAGCAATAACTCATGGGGACCATGGCAAATGAAAAGCTCACCTCATTATTAAATGACACCCATGCTAAGTTGAGAGAGATTATGGCACCTGTGGATATCTTATAATGATGGGTTGAACTTGGACCACACCTTGATCTTGATCCAAATTTGCCCTCTGTGACTCAATATACCATGCCTTGACCTGGATCCTGGATTTCCCACCCCATTGTCCTTTCCCCACCTCCCCCTGCTCTCCCTTATCATTTACTCCTGGCTATGCCCCTCTCCTTTTTTCCCTTCACCTCCCATTCTTGCTCTTTTTCTCTTAAAACCCCTTAACCCTTTTTTTTTTCTTTCCTCTTCCTCACTCACCTCCTATCCTTCCTATGGCGTGCATAGGCAATCCCCTCTTTCTCCCACTTGGAAGCAACCACTTTCACAGACGAGAACAATTCCAGCTGATTAGGGCCTCTTCTATGTCCACAGAAAATAGGCAGAATTGTGGGGTTATTTGTGCTTTGTTATATTTTGAGTATAATGGATATGTTTGCTTACCCCTTGATTTCTTGTAACATATCTGCACTGTGCTATTGTGTTGTTTACTGAAAATTTTAAAAAACCTTAATAAATCCTTTGCAAAATCAAAATGAATGGTGTTGCAAATCTCTGGTGCATGCAACATGTGTTAACATATGTTGTGGTAACGGATGCATTACATAATGCGTCACAGTGGAAAAGTGTACTTTGACTGTTGGTTAACTATCTTTATAAGAATTAGGGTCAAATACTGTGGTGTATTGCAATAACATTACGTTCATTAGTGTGTTGCAGTGCCATTTATTATGAATATCACTAATATCACTAAGGCAATTCAGCTCCAGACACATGGGTTGCAGCGCATCACAATGCACAGTAACATTTTGCACTCTGTTTTTTTTTTTGGATGTTTGAAACATTGCCATCCCATTGAAAATGAACATTGTACTGAGCACTAGCTAGATTTCTTTCCAAGATGATTCAAAATGTATGACTGGCTAAGCAATTGCACTGAAGCTGTTAAACTTAGAAGAAAGAGGAAAATGTACAATATCGTTTTTTCTCAGTACAATGATTATTCTAGAAGATTAGCCACTCAGGGATTTTTGAGCCAGCAGTAACAGATGGCTAAGTTGATGATGAACCACTGAAGGGACTGAAGAGTTGATTAGTAAGACTGACTGCCTGAAACAATTCCCAAAAGAACAAGTGGTCAAGTTCTACGTGGAAGAAAAATATGTGATGTGTCCTCTGCTATATTTAAAAATCAAATTATATGCCAAAGCAGCGTATATAACAATAACTGCAGTGCACTGATTTGTGTTTTAAAATCAATCGGTATTGCAAACTCAGTGGAAAATTTTGAAATAAAAAAAAAATAAGTTTATGCACAATCATCTATACTCCATGGTAACACCCTTTCGAAGAGCCAATAAAAATTTATTGCGAGTATAGACACAACTCTAGTAAAAAGACATATGCAGGAGTTCAGCTGTTCCAATTTTCGGTTGCTGAAAAACTCCTGTTGGCGCTAAGAGCTTTTTCTTCACAATCACTGTCTGCGCTGTTTCTATTCTCTAGTCAAAATCCTCACATCAAGCACAAAACACTTGAAAAATTACATTTTTACTATAAAAACATACCTTTAGTTACTGTGGCTGCCTATGTGTCACAAGTACAGTAGTAGTAGTGTTCATTGCAAATTGTCACTGATCCAAAAAAAAGTTTTTCAGTAATAATCTACAGGTGCGATTTGCAAACTGTATGTTGCACCTGAAGTTGTAGCGGTGGGAACCAGGGCTAGTTTTCTTAAATTACACCCCTGATATTTTATTGCAGGGGTGTAAAACTCCATTTCATCATGGGCCATATCAGCATTAAGGTTGCCCTCAAAGGGCCGGTTGTATCTGTAAGACTAGATGTCCAGGCACCCCACTCCATATTACATCAGATGTCAAGAATCCCACACCCTCCCTAACATCACCGTGCACCCCCTTTGGAGGCAGAGCTGGAAAGCATAAAGTGCGGGGTCTGGAGTTGGACCAGAGAAAGAGTGAAGTCAGTTACCAGAGTCTGCTGAGTGCTGAGACCAGGGGAGGTAGAGGTGAGGGGGTGCTGTAACTGCATTGAGAGGTTTAGGATTTGGCAGAGGAGTTCTATTCTCCTCTCTGTTGCTGACTGCTGAGACAAGAATGGGTCGGAGACAAGTGGGTACCTGCAGGAGAGGTGCAAGGCCAAATGATATGGCCTGGAGGATCTGATTCGGCCCGCGGGCCATGTGTTTGCCACCTGTGTTTTAATGGAATAAAGTTGTTACTGGACCTCTGTGGTGCTTCAATTTCAACTTTTCTTACATACATTGCACTACAAGCCAAGGAGACTGTGGATATCCTCTGAGGAGTAGAAAACGCCTGCCCAGGAACCCGATCATTTACATCAACATTAATAGCTTAAGATAACAATATCAGTAAAATAAACCTATGGGTCTGGCACTATTTTTCCACTTTCCTCAATACATTTTTGACATTGATATTTGTGCTTGACATTTACTGTAAGTTGTTATTAAATATATACCATAATATTATTTCTTAGATTTCCACTGCCTCACTGGTTTCTCAATGAAGTCAACATTTTGAAAAGTCTGGTTGTTCCTCAAATATCAAATCCACTACACTGTTTATACTGACAGCTTGCATGAGTCTTCTGGAAAGGCTGTCCTCAAGGTTTAGGAGTGTGTCTATGGGAATGTTTGACCATTCTTCCACAAGTGCATTTGTGAGGTCAAGCACTGATGTTGGATGAGAAGGCCTGTGTCACGGTGTGAGGTCAGGTTCAGAGACCAGTAGCTATAGCAGCAGACCAACCAACAGGATAGGTAAACAAGCAGGTCACCCTGGGAGATGATGCAGGCTCACCTGAGGTGGGGGGTCTAAGCACTAACTGGTATTCACCAGAGCTCCTGATGGTGGAGATGGATTTTGCTGTGTGTTAGTACCAGGTCGCAGTTCTCAGGATCACCCCACCAGGAAGTGAGCAAGCCAGGATCCAGTAACTGATATGGCAGGTAGGGATCTAGCAGAAGCGTAATCAGTAAACAAGCCAAGGGTTGGTAACAAGCGGTAGCAGGTTGGGATGAGGCAGAATCGTAGTAAAGGAACAAGCCAAAGGTCGGTAGTGAAGGTATGGATGGCAGCAGGAGAGACAAAGCGAGATACTGGCTGGAGAAGGCACAATAATCTGGCAAACAGGAAGTGCAGAGACGGCTTAAATCAGGAAGTTCATGGTAGGAGCAAGGAGTTCAAGGTTCATCAGAAAACAAGGCACAAGGCAGGATTGTCCAATAGATCAGGCAGAGCATTGTCCAGCATTCCAGGTAGCTCAGTGAGAAGAGTTACTGCCTGACACAGTAGAGGTCCCAGGTTCAAGTCTAGGCCCTGACAGCCTGGCTCGCAGTGTCTGATCTAATTCATTCCAAATGTGTTCTATCGGGTTGAGGTCAGGACTCTGTGCAGGCCAGTCAAGTTCCTCAGTTCAAAAAATGGCTGCAGTCAAGTTCCTCCACCCCAAACTTGCTCATCCATGTCTTTATGGACCTTGCTTTATGCACTGGTGCACAGTCATGTTGGAATGGGAAGGGGCCATCACCAAACTGTTCCCATTAAGTTGGGAGCATGAAATTGTCTGGAATGTCTTGGTATGCTGATGTGTTAAGATTTCCCTTCACTGGAACTAAGGGGCCAAGCCCAACCCCTGAAAAACAACCCCACACCATAATCCCTCCTACACCAAACTTTACACTTGGCACAATGCATTCAGGCAAATACCGTACTCCTGGCAACCTCTGAACCCAAACACATCCATCAGATTGACAGACACATCTCCACTGCTCTAGAGTCCAGTAGTGGTGTGCTTTACACCACTGCATCCAATGCTTTGCATTCCACTTGCTGATGGAAAGCTTGGATGCAGCTGCTCGGTCATGAAAACCCATTCCATGAAGCTCTCTATGCACTGTTGTTGCGCTAATCTGAAGGCCACATGAAGTTTTGGGGTCTTTAGCTATTGACTCTGCAGACAGTTGGAGACTTCTGCTCATTGTGCATGGACTGACCCCGCTCTGTCATTTTACATGGCCTACCACTTCATGGCTGAGTTGCTGTTGTTCCCAGTTGCTTCCACTTTGTTATAATACCACTAACATTTGATAGTGGAATATTTAGTAGCAAGGAAATTTTATGGATGGACTTATTGCACAGGTTGCAACCTATCACAGTACCACGCTTGAATTCACTGAGCTCCTGAGAGCACATCATCCTTTCACAAATGTTTGTAGAAGCAGTCTGCATGCCTAGGTGCTTGATTTTATACACCTGTGGCCATGGAGGTGATTGGAACACCTGAATCCAATTATTTGGATTTAATATTGCCAATACTTTGGCAATATAGTGTGTGTGTGTGTGTGTGTGTGTGTGTGTGTGTGTGTGTGTATGTGTGTGTGTGTATATATATATATATATATATATATATATATATATATATCTGCAGTATAGACACTTTCCTTGGGAAGGATGCTGCTAAAGTCGGTTAGATATATATAAGAGAAAATATGCAAAGGTTTATGCCTTCTCTTTACTATATTCGCTGTGGCAACATGACCCCTTTCCCTGTCTGGTGTAGCTATAGATGTTGTGACAGATGCAAAAGGGAATCTTGTATGGGGAGCTGTAGAAAGTGAGAAAATGAGGAGGTAGTACCTGAATGGGTGGTACTCTTACCACAGGTGAAATGCTGCATGCAGAGGTTGCAGCTCACAGTGTTGCTTTTGACATCAGGTAAATTAGAAATGCCAACAATGCAGAGCTCTGTTGACTGACCATGGGGATAGCAGTTGCCTGTACCTGTGAGACAGTGCTGCCAGATATATTTGGATGGATACTCCTTCCAGTCTTCTGCAAGCTTCCCCTGCCCTTGGACAAAGTACTTCCTCTTGCTGTTCTGCCTCTCTCACAAATGTCTTCTTTTCCAATAGATGGCACCCGCAGATGGTCTATCACCTCTTCATCCAATTCCTTCTCATTACTGCAATCCACTTCACAATAAGCTACAGCTCCTGGAATATTACTGCCTCCTGCTGCTTCCTGTTCAATGCCCCCTGTCAGCTGTATGATTGACCCCTCTCTCCCTCTATGGTCTTGGTGATATCTTCCTCATCCTCAATATCTAAAGAAAGGAATGTGTGTGCATTATCCAGACTATCCTCCTGCAGAAAATCAGCAATTTGATTATTAAATCATTCTACCAACTTCTACAGATAATTTGCGAGGATATGATTAACAAAGGAAGGATTATCAGAGGAAGAGCGAGCATTAACTAGCTGCTCTTTGCCTGTGACAAAGAAGAAGAAGGCTTTGTCAGCCACTCAAATATATCCTACACATACTCTGCAGCATGGTCTGTTTATGATAGAAAAGCAGATGTGCCCTAACATTAGATGGTGGAGCCAGACCATTTATTTTTCCTTCAGTACCAATTTGCCCCCTACTACCTCCTTATGCAGTTTCTCTCACTTTAGGTCAGTTTGACATTTTGTTTCTAAGGGGAATACCTAAATTAAATATCAGCTATGGCAATAGGAAGGATAAATATGCAGTGCATTGATACATGTGACTTTATTGCACATGTATGCATAGATGTGCTGTGTATAAAATGCAACTCCTCCTGTGTCAAAAACAAGTGTTTGCTGTACACCACAAAATAAAAAGGCCCTAGCAGCACAAAATGAAAAAATATGCTTCTAAAAAAAAATTCTGAAATACCCAACCTCCCCCCCGCAACTAAATTTAAACTTAGTGGTTTCTGACACACACAAAAAGGTTTATCTCTGCACTGTGAACACAGAAGGATACACTAGATTATATATCCACACAACACTGTAATCCACGGTATGTTTACACAATATACCATTGTATAGCTCAGTATTACAAACTAAATTTCCCTACACAGACTGTTAGCTCTCCCTAAACTGCTCCAACACACACTATAAAATGGCAGCTAGGATCTCACCCCTTTATAGCTAAGGGGGTGACACATACCAACACCCCCATTATTGGACATTCTAACCCTGCTGGCCACAGTTCAAAGTCAGGCTGCACATTATGGGTCCATTAAAATTATATCCAGTGATAAATACATTGTTACCATAAATGTACATTCAGCAGACCCAAATCGTATTCCTATTGCTGTTTACTTAAAAGAAGCTGGCTTAAATGTAGCTGTATAGTTTGTACATGCCATGCAGTTATTACATATTCCAAACCCATGTGTTTTTAGGTTGACTGTCACCAAGGGCTATCTCTAGCCCCAGATTTTTGGCTTTACTGAAAATAAGTTTAGGTCTATTAGCTGACAGCAAATGAATGTCTCTTTGGCAATTGCATGCTGCTTAAGAATAATTTTCTGTAATAGAAATAGTTGCCCATTATATCTAAAGAAAAAGTCATTTTGCTTTTGGTTGCATGAATCAGCGTCTGTATTTGCTCTTTTAATATTTAATAAATTAGAGCAGTCAATGCAACTAATGCCTTTATAAGATTGATCAATAGAGTCATGCTTGTAACTGTTCTCTATCAATTGTCCTATCATCAATTCTGCCTCTTTTAAAAATCTTAAAATCTAATACAATTCAATTTTAATATTATAAATTGTCTCACGTGGACCTATGGACCTCTGTAAGCAAATTAGATAAATGGCAATAGGACTGATGAATAAAAGTCTTGATACTTGCAGATTTTGACAGTTACATAATTTTGTATAAGTATAGGTAAGCCTGGAAGAGCAGGAATAGGTAGCTGGTAATACCAATTGTAATGCACTTTATTAGAATAAATAAGCAAAGTAATACATTGGCTGCTAGCTGTCTGGCCAAATGATAAGATATTCCTAGTAGACCATTGAAAGTTTAACAAAGCTAGCAAAAAATTGTCCTCTTAATGGTAGCCTTATTTGTAGATAAAGGTGCCTATTTTATTATGCCTATTTTATTACAGCTAATAGTATAAAAAAATTAAATTAAATTTGAGGTATAAAACTGTTACCTTCAAATAAATCCAGAAATATAGAAATAGAGCATCAATTTAACATAATATTTACTGTTCATGCCATTATGTTTCCTTGCATACTGAGAAGATATGTAGGGGATTTTTCATAGACTTGTATATTGGTAACATTATGCTGCAATAAAACAATCTACATATTGTGCCAGGTTTGTGAAAAGATTAATTCCTGAAACAACAGGATGGCCAGCAAGAAATGAAAGCTTCTCAAAGCCCAACTGCAAGCCAAATTTTAATTTCCTTCTGAATAGAGCAGGGGAAGGTTGGAGACTCAGGTTTTTATTGTCACCCATGTTAATGTAAGGGAAGTGTAACCCTTACTTCCAATCAGGACAGGAAGTCAAGGAAAATCTTTCCAATGGAAGCACGGGCAAAAACAAATACATTTTTAGTAGAGTGAATAATAGTTAGACCTTTTTGAAATGGTTTGATTGAAGTCTGTGTTTTCCTGCCCCAATGATATTAGCTCCCCACATCTCTTGTTCAGTTGTCACAGAAAACAATCTAAAATCTAAAAATCTACCTAGTGGGGTCGCATAAAAATACCAAAACCTGACAGAAATATTAACTTCCATGAAAGACAAAAAAAAATGTGCTGATTTGGGCATTTAGAATTTTTGGTAAGTAGTAAGTCATTGTTCAAAAATTTAAACAATTACTTGCCCAAAAAACCCTTACCAAATCATTATGTAATAAAGCTTCTTATTTTATTAATATGAACGCTAAATTGTTCTTCCTGTTTTTTTTTTTTTTTTGTACTATGTATTGTACATATACTAATATCATTGAGGGGATTACGCACAAAGAGATTGTTAATGGGACCGCCAAGTTCCTCATCTTCAGTTCTCAGGTGCCCGCTCCTTGAGTGTCTGTTCCTTCTACATGCTACAAAACAGTTCTAGAATTGCACACCACTTCCACAAGCTAAAAACAACTTTATTGTACAACATATGCACAGACACTCTGCCCAGAAAATTATCTCTATGTCATTTCACCTCCTACTGGGGCTTAGTCATAAAGTAACAGAGCACTATGCTTACACCCCAGTAGGGGTAATACACATTGAAGAGAGGTCTCTGGGTGGAGTGTTTGTGCAAGTGCATTAGAGTAAAGTTGTCTTTACCCTGCGGAAGTGATGGACTAAACACCTCCCTGTTCATGGTCGAACATTCAAACCTAATGAAAATTCAACCACAAACATCAAACAGGGACAATTCACTATGCAGTATCTTACCGAATCTGAGTATGTATCGCACAACTACTAAACTATCATATGAGTTATATTATTAAGTCCTGCGGTATTTTAATAGTGAAAACATTTAGTGACAAGCCAAGGAGCAAGAGGTGGCTGATCCTCCGTCCAGGGGAGGAGATGGTCTTACTTTCCTCCCAGCAACAGATCGAGGACTTGGTGGTGGAGGAAGCTGTCCTCACACCCAAACAGTCAGCCAGAGGAAAGGATATGGAGTCCCCAGCTGAAGTGCTGGCAACAGAGTAGAGCACTGCTGGCCTCTGTTTAGCAACTACTATGTCTTCAGAGATCCAGGGAGTTGGGGCAGTTGGCCCCTCTCCCTAGCAGCAGAGTGAGGCCTGAAATGGAAAAGGACTCCCAGATGAAGCACTGACAACCGGACAGTGGGTCCATGACCTCTGCCCTCCACTTACCTACGACAACTCTTCCCTGCAGACAAGAATGGAGATTATGTGGACCGACTAAGTGGGTTCACTCTGCCTGACTAATGTATGTCCAGACTAGTTGGAGGCCTGGGACCTGGTTAGTTTGCCGTTGGGGGCAGAGAAATATGACAGACCCAACTGGGAAAGGGGATTTTGGAGGAGACTATGGGCTAGCCTTCTACCCACTGATTATGGCCAGCGGAAAAGACCAGGGATTTTGTGTGCTTCTCAGGGTCAGAGCATGGAGGAAAGCAGGGTCTTGAAACCCTTTGACTAGCTGGGAGTATCTATCAGGATTATGCAGCCAGGAAGTCCCCAGAACAGTGATGCGTCTGTGGGAACATTTTGTCAGACAGGTCGTGCAGCTACTAGCCACACTGATAAGACTTGTCTATGTGCCTAGCTGTTAATTAGTTTAATGTTTAACCGCCTCCCGCCCACCATATAAGGAAATGACGGGCGCAAGGCGGTTCTCTTGTTCTGGGAGGACGTCATATGACGTCCTCCCACTCTAACTGAGCGTGCACGGCTCCGGGAGCGTGCAGTGCGGCGATCGGTGGTGCGCTGTGTCCCTTGGATCACCAATCAATGGAAAGAGCCGCAGATGTCCGCTCGGTCATGTGATCAGCTGTGTCCAATCACAGCTGATTGCATGTGAATAGGGAAATGTCAGTTATCAGCGTTTTTCTCCTCACGAGCTGACACGCTGACAGCTCAAGAGGAG